AACAATTCTATAGTAATAAAATGAAACAATATTAAAAAAACCATATTAGGCCCAATTGTTTGATCCCAATTTTGCTATATACATGTTTTTCATTCTAATAACAATCACAAAAAAGCAAAATTTCAAAACACACCCTAGGAAGTATGTTTTTATCCCAATTAACAAGACCGTCCATTTTGATGAGATGCTTACATCTAGGCCTTAGAAGGATTTTTTTCATTTATAAAATTTTTAGATAATTTTATTATCATTAGATGAACAATCATAACTTTATTATCATTAGATGAATAATAAACAAAAAAACAAAAAAAAAGACTTTGTGGTCGTTAAGGCTTATAAATTTTCACCAAATGGATGGTTGATATTCATTGTTGGAGGTGTCTCACTTTGGCTAGATCTAAAGTGCAAATTGAATTTTATTTCTTTAAAGGTTGAGTAGTGGGATGAAAAGAGAGGCGTACACATTTTTTATGGTCAACCTACGAGTTTGGACTTTGAAACTCGTGTGCAACGAGTTATTGGATATCCTCTAGACAACAAATACCTTTGCCCATGGATGATGTGAACATTATTGAACTGGAGGACATGGTCAAGGAGACGTGGAATGCAACGCTTAAGAATGCAATAGTATGCTCCTTTAGCCCTCTTATCAAAGACTTTAGTATGCTTCAAGATTGGGTTGTTAAAACCTATGGATGCAACCTTACCTGCAGAGTTATTCCAGGGAGCAGGGCTGATGATTTTGAGAAAGAAACGGATTTTGTTAGAGTTTTTAAACAGAAGTTTTGAAGATTCAAGGAAGTTCTCCTGTCTTTGGAAAGATGGTCAACTAAGATTAATCACTCCTTGCAGCATTTGGTGGTGGTGTGGTTGCTAGTAGAAGGGATTCCCATTCAAGCGTGAGCAAAAGATTGGTTCATCACTCAACATTACGGAAGGTTGTCAGAGGTCGACTGGTTCATGATGGCAGGTCCTTTGAGAGTGCTCAAAATCAAGGTCCAGTGCATTCTAGGGAGGAAGATCCGTGATGATCTTCTTCTTAAGATTTCCGAGGAGTATTATGCAACCTCTATCGCCTAGGATGGAGCCACACCCACTACTAAGAATCTGATGCAAGCTCTTTGGTCTATTAGTTACATGGCAGATAAAAAAGGCAAGCAGCAAGAGAACACATCACTTGGTTGGAGGCAGGAGCATGAAGGCTCTAAGCAGCAATGAAGTCATGTTTCCAAAAAAAAGAAGGGCCATTTTCAACAAGCTGGTCATTAGCCTAAAAACGTTACCTACAGGTAGGAATGGAGGAGAAAGACTATTGGCTCCACTTCTGCAACTTTGGCTGGTGGGAAATGGACTGTTACCTCGAGTTCAAATTCAAATTCAATTGGAGGTTTGGCCTCAACGGGAAAATCAAAATCCACATCGATCATCCAGGTGGAGCATTCAACAACTATGAGAAAGGAGACAAATCTATCTCACTGGAAAGAGGCGGCGGATTTCACTGGTGAAAAGGAATTTGACATCGAAAAGGTAAGCCCATCTATTCCAAACAGCATCTTCCCTAAAGTCACATTGCTTGAGGTGGTGCCCCAAGCGTACCTTTTTCCTCAAAGAGTGGTCCTCGTCATGGGTCACTCATGCTTCTCTGGTTCCTTATTTCTAGTATTAGTTTTTCCTTTTTTATCAAACATCTCGTTGTTAAAAGGTGTAGACTTCTTGCCATGGCTCAAAGGGTTACTATCATAGACTCTAATAAACAAATGGTCGTCTTGAGAGATCCTGCCTCTGTACCTGCTCTTCTAGAGGGCATGATCTAGTTGTCCATGTGCCAATGGGAAAGTGGCCGGGCTTGGCGTTCTATTACTTTCAAAGCCCCTTCTATGGTAGCAATGGAAGAGCATCATGCCAGGGGCATGTTGCTGGCGAATATCCTCTATACCCCACCCATCCTAATTGCCGAATCTTCTGACTCTTTGAAGGAGGACCTCTGTCCTCGTTCGGCGAATTGGTCTATCAAAGTTCATAAAAGGGTGGAGGTCAGAGAGAAGGCAACAAAGATGCTTCAGGCCATGAATGTCACTTTTAAAGGTGAGATTAGGATCGCCGAGGAAGCCATTGCAGTAGGGGAAGTTCCAGTTAACCTGAATCCTCATCCAAGGAGAGCCTGTAATAGTATGCACTGGGAGGTTGAGGAGTTGGCAGTGGTGCTGCCTTCGATCCGTTTACTACTAGCCCAATGGGGGTCACTAGGGGTGCCCAAGACCTCTAGCCTAAATGAAGCCGCTCACATAGAACATCCGGGGATTGGGAGACATTCGTAAGAGAAGGATTGTGCGAAGAATGGTCAGAAGTTGTAGGCCCATATCCTTCTTCTGCAAGAGACAAAGCTAAGGGAGTTCAGCTTTTGCAAGAGACAATTTGCTTTGTCTCTTGCAAGATATGGGCCCTTAGCTTCTTTGCTTTGTCACTTAAGTCCGTTACCATATAAACGATTTTGCTTCAGGCACACAAGCTCATAAGAAGTTATTTAACATGTGACATTCAACGCTTTGAAATGTGTTGGAGAAGACATTTGTGTTTTGGAAGGCAAGATTTCCTGTACTTGGGAATCAAATGTAATGTCATCTAAGAACACAGGTTGACGCAGTTGTTGTCTGTGCAATATTGGACAACTACATCATGATGACATGAGGAGCCGATAGCAAAAGAGATATATATTTTCGAAAGAGGGTTGAGAGACAATGGAAAGTTGAGGGAGATGATGGTTTCTCGCAACTGACTCAGAAGCAAAATGATCATGATAATGGCGTCAGTATGCTAGATGCGATGTCATTGCAGTTGTGGGAGGCATTCTTTCATCACTAGAAGTTGTTAATTTCAATTATGTTTTATGGTGTTGTGTGTTTTAAAAATACCTGGGATGGCGTGTGCTGTTAATATTTTTGACAAACTTTATTCAGAATTGTTATTTATGTGTTTTTCCTGTGGCTATTGATAAGTACTTAAAACTTGTGTTTTTCCTGTGGCTATTGATATGTACTTAAAACTGTCGCTTGTAACCATGCGTCCCTTGTGTACTCAGTTGAATGGTTTTGTTTAGTGCTAATGCTTTTGCAATTAGCTGATTGTAATAGCAAAATGTAAATGGCATTGGTTAATTGGGTTAGTCATATTCCTCCTCGACGAATGCTTTATTTTCTTGATTTAACTATTGTGCAATTTCAAGGTGACTTCGAATAGAGTACTCTTGCTTTTCCTGAATTGAAAGATTACTGTTCTTCTTCGCTGTTATTGCTTGCTTGTCCTCATCCTTGTGCTCTGTTCCCAACCACATCAAGAAAACTATGAATGAAACTGTACACCAAGCCGACTTATCATCTAGGGTTAGAAGCGAACGTTTGGATACAAGTCATGTATGTGAAATAACTCATAAGCAGGAGGTACAATAGCTCGAAGCAATATGACACTGCTTAGAAAATCAGATATGGCAGAACTAGTGTCCAGCCATAGCCATGGTATGTATATCAAGTATCTAAGAGGATGTGTGCTTTTTTCTGCACCTCTATTGGATTGGGAGGTCCTTGATGCAAAGAAGGGTTGGGCAAACTTGCGATGGAAAATGGGTTTTCTATAGCTTTTGAGTGAGAAGTTTGTTGCTTATTCTGCTTCAATTTGTTGGGAGTATTTCACTTGCTCAATGTGCTTACTGTGAGAACTTCAATTTGTTTATCCTTGGTTTGCATCATGGCCTTGATCTTGTGGCTATATATATGACATCATGAATTTATTGACTTCTGCTCGTTGCCTTTATAGGGTCAGATGCCGGTCAATGAATCAGCCAATAGTAGCCAATATTTTCATGGTTGACTCATAATTTTATTTTTTCATCTCTATTTTTTTTTTTTTTGATTTGAGATGCTGAACCGAGTCAGACTTTTGTGAGCTATTTCAATTTTTATCTAGAAAAAAGGTGTTGCCCCAATTTTCAACACGTTACTGAAATTCTTTTATTCCCCATATGTTTTTGAAGTAGTTCAAGGTAATTGGGTGACACCATACTGTGATTATTGCCACTTATGAATGTTGAGGTCCATGGCATGAACATTTCATTGTTTTTTTATTTGTGATTGCAAAAGAAATATCGACAACATATACTGAGAGAGGGGGGGTTCCAACCCCATGTCCTCATTGACATTGATTATATTATATATACATCAACTACCAGAGACAATCCAAACAGATTATTCTATTGATATATATAAACTAAATGTCTTTGGTGTCATGATGGAAAATGTAAATTTCTTTCAGTGGTGTGATCAGCATATAGCAAATGTAACTACATGGCAAATTTTGGGTGCTGAAATGTACTACAGTGGAGTTGCCTACAGAAATCATAGGTCATAGGAACATGACCTAAAAATTCATGAGCCAATGATAATACAACACTCGGGCATTGGTGACCTGGGCCACTTAAAATATTTTGTATTTTCTGTGTAACTAATGTTCTTATTGTTGTTCTCGCTCTTTTTTTTTTCATAATTGTATCGTTCAATGACATCTGGCGAACCTATAAAATATTGTATTTAATACTTAATTGAGGTTGTGGATGACATTATACAAAGACCGCTTGAATTTTGAAGTGCAATGAAGTTTATCATACAAAAACTGCTTCAATTGTTGTACTCATCTTTTACAATTTGGGACATTTTCTTCACAACTCATTGTTACCAAATCTCTCTCTCTAAACCACGGTCCCCATCCAAAATCCAAGACTTCTCTCACTCAATTAAGCTCTCTCTCTCAAACGTACTTTAAATTTTGATATTTTATCCCAGAAAAAGAAAATCTAAAAAATTAATATTGTTTAAGGTTTCAACTTTAGATTTCATATCTTACCTATAACTTCTACAGCTAATCAAATACTAATGCCAAAACTTTCTAATCATCCAGCAGGTTATCAAACACAAGTACTTATAAATTACTTTACATTCCAACATGTTATCAAACACAGAAAACTAGTAACTTTTTTATTCCCAACAAAGAAAAACTTTCAATTTTTACTTTCCAGTTATCAAACACATCCTGACCACAAAGTTGACTTGAAAATTCATTTCATAAATACCCCCCTAATCACATACATGTGGTCCCCAAATAAAAAAACCTTCAAGTAAATATGTGGAGAGAGAGAAAGGTCAGATTTCAGCTATATACAGGACTGAATCGATGAACAGTGATCAATAAAATCTCAAGATTCACATTTATGTAACAAATGCGAGAACTGTACAAGCACACCATGTGAAGAAAGGACCTGGAGTTTTCTTCTATCATGGTGGGGAATACCATCTGGAACAACAGGAGAAGGCACGTCTTGCACATGGAAAGATGTGAGGTGGTCCACACAGCTCCCCATTTTTGATATCCAGAAGCACTGTTGAGGAAAGAAATTAGCAAGTGGTATCGCGCATGATGTAAAACAAAGAAGTTAAAAAAAAAAAATTTCAATTCTTAAACAGATGGAACACATTTTAGTTACCTGCTAAAATAAATGTGTTTTAAGGCTAACATACTTGTCACTGGGGATACTAACCAAGTCTCATTGATATTATAGCTGCCTGGTCATAACTCAGTCCAAATTCATAGTTCATTTCCAGGTTAAGTTTTGTAACCTATTTTTACGAATTACCAGCTGCTGTTCACCCAAATTTTATAATGGGCAATTTATCAAAATACCTATGAAAAATTAACTATCTAACATTTTAACTATATTGATTTAATTTCAAAATACCCATTAAAAAAGATACATGCTTATGAATTAGAATAGTTGCAAATGTGCAAAATGAAAAATACTGCATGTCTCATAGGCAATTTGATAAATTTCGCTTTCATCATTTATATGAAAGTATTGTGCCATGACAAGATTTTCATCAAATGTAATGAACAAAGTGTCAAGATTAGCACATCACAATCTTAGGGGAAGTTTCGTAATATTTATATTTTTTAAGCGCCTTTAAAAATAATTGAACCATGAGAATTAGAGACCAAATTTTCTCAATTGTGCTGAAAACCAAAAACCAAGCTTAGGTTTTTGATTTAGCTTAAGGCCATCTGAATAGGAGTGGGAATTGGCTTGTGGACCTGATGGGTTGACCTGGACACGTCTGGGTATGGACCTAGATTTTGGACCCAATGGGTTGGGTTTGGACCCATTTGACCTTGACCCAAACTGCATCGGGTCCATATCCATGTCCAACCAAATCTTGTCGGGCCAGGACAGGTAAGGTTGGGTCTGGGTTGGGGCCAACCCAACTATGGTATATATTAGCATATAATATGAAGTATATAATACAAAATACATATTACTTTTTTTATACTTTCTATTTATAGACCGGGACCTGACCCGACCAGGTAGGATCCAGCCATCTAGGTCCAACTTACAGCGAGCCAGGTCGGGGTCAGCCTGGACGTGAACCAACCCATTCCCACCCCTATATATGAGGCCGGTAAACGGAACATTTGACCGTTGTGCTTCAGTCAAAAATCAAACCTGTTTCCTTCGACCAAAAGTGAATATTATACAAGAAACTTCCTTTGGGTACATACAACGAGTTGACACAATTTCAGATCTTGCAGCAATTGTTCATTCTTGAATCTAAACGAATTACTTTTTGAAAGTGGTCCTTCGTGTCAAGTATTTAAGAAATGTATAAATAATATATAATTGCTTTAAAAAATTTTATTCGATATTTTTATGATATTTAATGAACTTTCTAAATTTTTATGATATTCTCAATTTTGGCTGTTCTTTTATGAGCTTTTCCATGAACTGGCCAGGTACCTGATTAGGAGCTCGTCAACACTCTCTGAACATGAAAAGATGATCCCATTCTGTTTTCATTTTTCATGTACATCCTAATCATCAGTAAGGACTACTCATTTTTTGTGGTAATCATTACTGGAGAAAAAAAAGAAGATTTTGTTTTTCTTTAGACCCTGGCGATATTTTTCAGAGTTTTTTTGTGTTTGCAGTGCTTTCCTGTATTCTTGCTGACCCTAGCAATGAGTGTTTGCAGTATTTACGGATTGTGAGATGGGAGAGTTTCATGTTCCCATTCTATTTACATTTTCGATGTACATCCTAATCATCAATAAGGACAACCACATTTTGTGGTAATCATCAATGGAGGAAAAAAGGACGATTTTTTCTTCTTTTGACCCTGGTGACATTTGTCAGTGTTTTTTTGTGTTTGCAGTGCTTTCTCGTATTCTTGCTCACCCTAGCAATGAGTGTTTGGAGCATTTAGGATTGTGAGATGGGAGATTACCATTAGTAGGCAGGTGCAGACCAAAGTGGGGACCAAAGCATAATTTTTTCTGCTAGTAACAATATCAGCTTAACATCATTCAGACGTGCTTCCAACACATCAACAAGGATGAGGGGTGTAACAAAATGGGCCTAAGCATAAACTCTGGCCTATTCAAACTGTGACCGATGTATCCTCAATGCCAAGTTTGATGCAAGATGCCGTCCTTTTCGCAAGCATCCTGATATCCCTTGTTTGCAAACTTTGTATCAATGTTAGAATGTAAACGGTTGACTTCAGTAGTCTATTTGATCATTTCATGAATAAGCTAAAAATCGTGTAAGAAATAAATCCTTATTACCCAAAAGTCATCACAAAGAGAGAAGTTAGCAGAGATGCCTATCCTATAATCAAAAACCCCAGGATATACAACCAAGAAGGGAGATCCAGAAGAAAAGGAGAGTTTGAAACAAAGGCCTGGATGCTCATGCATATTACGATGTGTTTGGACAACAGGAGCCTTCACACGTATTCTATCTAGAGAAGGCATAAGTTCATTAAACAGGGAAAGATTTTCTATGCAATAGTTGCAGTCTGAACAACCTCGTAATCATTATTTAGCTCATCAAGAAGCCTAAAAGCTCCTCATTCTTTTCTCATGCTCTCATAAACATCATGGGGATAATCCGATCCTTCCAACATGCCTCTCATGATACCACAATCCTCTCCTTAGGACCCTGCCTATGATTGGCATATTGGTAACATAATGCTACCAATGCTAGCAATGTTGTTCCTTAGGCTTTAGCTTAATGGTAGACATACCAGTTTGGATGAAGGAGGTCACAAAGTTGAATCCTTGGAGTTTGTCCCCAAAACCTATACAAGCTAATGTACCCATTGTTACTCAATGCATATCTTTTACTTAATGCAAAAGTAAAAAATGTTATGCAAATTCAGTTAGTGTACCACACATCTCTTCAGTGGTTGCTAGAAACATTAACCAATTGCTGACATTCTCCTCCATTCAACTCAATAGCAAAGCTGTGACCAATGAATAATTTGCATTTTATTTTTCATACTTGCATTATCAAGTTCAACTAGTTCAACCTTGCCATCAATGTCACCATCATAATATTTTTTTATAAGTAACCCGAATTTCTACTATGCCTTTAGGAAAATTATTGCAGATGCAATCATTCAAAAAATGTACTCTCAAGTAGGGTCATGATTGACCCATGACATGAAAAAGAGGGGTTTCTTGAAACATTATGAACTATCTATCAGGCAAGAGGTTAATTCCTCGAGGATATTGGTGCTGTGAAAGGAACCAATGCAACACTTGACCTTAATGGAAAAGACCCCTATATCACCAAAAGAAACCACCTTGAATGTTCCATATTCTCCTTCAACACCAGAACTTCACAATCAAACATAAGCCAAAACTTGGAACAGAGGTAGGCAAAGCTAGGGACCCTAGCTGGTGGTAGCCCTCGACACATGTTGCAGCTGATACATGTGAATCATGTTGTGAGAGTGACTATTGAAAGCTTACTCATCATTATATTGTATTCAAGTCTCTATGGACTTATTTGTCCTTTTTCCACAAAGCGCATTCTTGTACATCAAGAAAATCTATTATAGCTAATATAAATATATGAGAGGTGCTAGAGGTCAGTATGACCTAACATCACCCTCTCTCTTTTTTCCTCTCTCAAAGTCCTATTCCTTTGCACTTGATCTCTTCATCTTTTTCTTCCTTTTTGCTCCTTTCATTATTTACTGCTGCATTTTAACTTACTACCAGAGCAGGAAGCTTCGTGAAATTTTGGAAACCCTAAAGACATGATTTGGCCATGCAAAGGTCTCCTAAAGCTGTATGGCCAGAGACCCTAGATCTGAAGAAGGAAAAAAGGGGGCATGAAACCCTAGATCTGAGAAAAGGTATGGAATAAAAAAAAAGAAAGAAAAAACGAGTTTCATGTTTGTTTCCTCGAGTTTTTGATGCAAGGTCAGAAACCCTAGATCTGGCTGTCATGGATCTATGATGTTGAAGTCTGTTGTTGACCACTTATACGAATCAAATAATTGTTTTGGAGTTGTAAAACTCAGTTTTTTTAAGAAGATCTCTTGTATGGATGATCTCGAGTCCCTATTCAAAATTTCAAAGAATTTTTGAATGGCTGGTTTTGTTGATCAGCCCGTATTCCTTGGGGCCGTTTGGATCCATGGAAATAGTTATCGGAAAAAATCTATTTCCTTTGAAATGTACTTCGAGAAAAGTATTTCCTCTGAAATAGATTTCAATTGTTTGGATGCTACATGGATGCATAACATTTTCATGTTTTTTTTTCTTTTTTCCGTTAACTATTTTTATTGTATTATTCATTATAATGAATTTTTTTTATTACTATTAAATTTGAGACAGTTTCTCTCCCTAAATATTTGAGATACTTTCACTCTAAAATTTTCAAGTACTTTCTCTCTGTAAAATATGATATAATTTCTCTTTCTAAAAATTTAAGATAATTTCTCTCCCTAAAACTTAAAATTTGAGATAGTTTCTCTCTCTAAAATTTTTCAAACACTTTCTCTCTCTAAAACTTAAAATTTGAGATAGTTTCTCTCTCTAAAAAGTTTTAAGTACTTTCTCTCTCTAAAATTTGATATAGTTTCTCTCTAATATTTTAAGATACTTTACTTGTTCCAAAAAATATTTTAAGATACTTTTCTCTCTAAAACTTAAAATATGAGATAGTTTCTCTCTCTAAAATTTTGAGATAGTTTCTCTCTCTAAAAATTTTAGGATACTCTATAAAACTTAAAAATTTAACATAATTTCTCTCTCTAAAATTTAGAGACAATTTCTCTCTAAAACTTTTCAAATACTCTCTCTAAAACTTAAAGTTTGTGATAGCTTCTCTTTAATGTTTTTGATATAGTTTTTCTCTCTAAACATTTTGAGATATTTTCTCTCAAAAAATTCAAGTACTTGCTCTCTCTAAAACTTAAAAGTTGAGATAGTTTCTCCCTCTAAAATTTGATATCGTTTCACTCTAAAATTCTCTCCAAAATTCTAACATACTTTCTCTCTCTAAAACATAAAATTTGCGATAGTTTCTCTTCTAAA